CGCCATTGTTGCTGCGTCGCCTTTGAGCGGTCACGGATATTACGGTGGCCACGGAGCTTACGGTGCTCACGGAGCTTATGGAGCTTACGGAGGTATAGGTTACGGCGCACATGGAGTAGCTGTTACTGGACCATTCCTTGGAGCGACGAGTGTCACGGGTCCACACGTGGGTGCCACTGCTGTTTCCGCTCCAGCGATAGGGCCGGCTCGTTTGTCCGGATCGATGGCTGGTCCTGCTCACGTGTCGGGTGCCGTTGCTGGGCCAGCTGTTGTGACTGCGTCGGTCGCTGGTCCAGCGCACGTAGAAGGCTTCGGTGGTCCGTATGATGGTGCCTATGGTGGCTATGGAGGTGGTGCCTATGATGGATATGGAGGTGCCTATGGCGGTAATTATGTTGGTAAGTAATATAACTAATTATATGAAATTATGTGAAAGAAAAATTCTTCTAACAATAAGTAGATTGCAAAAGAGGTTCTAATTTAGAAATAATCTGAACTAAAATAAATTAAAGAAATGTATAGTACAAAAATGTGATTTAAACAATTCGTTAAAAGTTATAGAAAGAGTGCTGTAAAGTACTTTTATTAATACTGCAAGTAAAAGAGCTATTCTTAAAATTTGCAGATTATTTTTGTGTGGGCGCGTGTGTGCATTCTTGAAAGTAATTGCACGTATAGAGAAAACAATTCTATCCATTTTTCTAACATTATTATTTTATGTGTTTTTAGGAGGTTACGGATATGCGGCTGCTCCTGCCGGTTATGGTGGTTACGCAGGATATGCTGGCGGTCACGGAGGGCATGGGGTAGTTGTTGCCGGACCGGCTACTCATGGCGCGGTTCTGGCTGGACCTCATTCTGGAAGCGCAGCTGTTTCTGGACCGCATGCCGGTTCGGTGGTGATTGCCGGTCCTTCCGGAAAGATTACGGCCCACGGAAGCGGTTACGGTGCCGCCATCCAGGCCGGTCACGGCCACGGCCACTGGTAACGCGCGCATAATCATCTGCGAAACATAAAAGAAAAGAATCTCTCTGAATTATCATCGAAAAAAAGTAGAATACCGTTTCCAACTCCTCCCTGGTTTTCTAAGAGAGATCGAAGAAGTATTATGGAGGATAAAATTGCTGTAACACGATGACGTTCGTCGTGCTCGATGCTCTCGGTTCATAGTGTGCGCATGGGTACTTACATCTCTTTTCTGTACGAATGGAATAAATTCTCTTCTTTACAAAAGAAGATATTCATGTAATGTAAAATAACAACAAGAGAGTGTTATTTATATATATATATATACATATAATGTATTGCCTGATGTATCTCATGAATTTTGATCTCTCACATCTATCAAAAATTCATATTTACTGTACATTTTATACGTAACGTATTGTATTTGTATGGTATATCCTTAAACATAATTATTCAATCAATTCTTAAACAAATTATTAAATCGGATTGTACGATTATGAGAGACGTTGCTTCAATTAATATTTAAGAAATTCTTCGGTGAAAAATGTAGAAACTTTGTGTTGAGTTACTAAGGTTAAAACTAAAAAGTCAGACCAATTATCTCACACAAATTACCGTGGCAATTTGATTAACTAATCTAACCTTCTCTTCTATCAGCAAAGCTGCAATTATTCATGACGAAAGCATTAAGTGATACGGCACGATTATATCTGACTTTAAGTCTTGTACAATTGTTCGCTATTTAAGCAAACCATTATCGTTTAAATTTTCCATTTATCATGAAAATAAACGGTAATGCATTACAAGTTGACATTGTACATTTATATATATTTCAGTAAAATTATAAAATATACAAAATTTATAAATTATACTAAAAGATAAAATCGTGCAGAAGCTTTAATACTTAATTTTGTTACTTATTGTTCATTTTGCGCTCATTCAATTTTAGCATGCTGTAATCTTACATTAATAATAATGAATAAGTATTATAGTTCACCTAATTAACTAGGATTTCACAAAACTTCATCTTTGCTGAGTTTTCCTCATAGTTCATATTTTCCGTCCAACGTAACTCGTTTAGTCTAAATTTCTTCGTCACACTATCTTTTCTGCACTTACACTTCATTATTTAGCCTATTTTATCACAATTTTTGAACGCAAATAAAATATGGAAGTAGCGATACATAACAGCCGTTCATACTTCATTCGCTGATCAGAACGTCTACACGTTTCACGTCACGTATCGTTTGACCAAATAGTTATATCAGTGGCACCGATTCATATCGCTCGGTAATAAATCACTTGTGGTGTCCGTCGAGTATAATCGCTAAATGCAAGGAGTTGATGAAACTGACATAGATCCAGCGTGTACCTTAATGCAACGCGTAATGATCGTTGTAAAGGGTAAGGTCATCGCGTGACTCGATGCGGACATGGTCCGCCACTCATAAGCTGAATATGAAAAGTCACGGTCAGAGAAAAAACCAGATAGAACGTTCGTTGAAACATTGATGTAAATTCAAAATTCTATTATTATCCGAGATAATTTCATTGATACGTTAAGACAAAAATGAGCTAAATTTAATAAATATTTGTTTGAATAGTACTAACTGAATATTTATTAAACGTATACAGAGTGAAATTCGCGAATCGAAATACTATAGTAAGAAAGTTTTCAAAAAATTTAGTAAAATAGTGTTTTATAAATTCTTATTTTAACGTTATATGGCAATTACTTTCTCTCTAGTTACAGACTATGTTTAGACGAACTATGTTTAAACGCTGAAGTGCACGCTTACTAATTTACCGTACGCGCGATTTATGGACAGGCTATCGAAACGTAATCTTGGCTGTATTTAAACCCTTATAATTTCAAAAATTACTGTTTGAAATAAAAATGTACTAATAAAAAGTTATGTACACATAATTGTTTTACTTAATTTTTGAAAATTTTCTTGCAGTGGTATTTTGATTCGCAAATTTTGGTACATCCTTTATTTATTTGGTACAAAAACCATAATTTAATTTAACTATCATTTTTTTTATTTAGTAAAGAATTATTTACTGTAAAAAATATTATGTTAGTATTATTCAAATAATTAATATCTACTATTCAAATATTTATTACAAAAATTTAGTACATTTTTTCTTAATGTAGCAATAATTTTGTGTTTATTTAATAATATAAAACTAATTTGCAATATTGTGCATCGAGATCATACATGATGTACATAACAATAATCTACCTGAATATCAATATTAAAGTAATTCCTGTATTGTTAGTGATTGGTGATTGCGTATTCACGTATCAGAATAAAATATATAATTTTGATACGACCCATCTGTAATTTTTTGTGCACTCGAAGGCCGCGTAATGAATCACGGACGAAAGTGTACCAAGATATCGGACATAAATTTGTGTATCGGTGCAACTAGCGAGAAATTTATACAGGATTTGCACAAATTTAAATATCAAACGCGATTTACGGTACCTATTACGCGCGTAATTTATCGTACGATTTACAATCGCCAGATCATCACATGGATTTATATTTAATCTTAGATTTGCTTGTGTCTCCGCCTTTGTCCACCCCTTTTTTCTCTAACAAATTACTATCGGAAAATGATATACCCCGTACTTTGTTCGCACGGCGAGCACTCTCGGATGGAATATCGAGCGACGCTCAAGCGTGGCCTTCATCTTATGGGAAAATCGTGGCCCGAGCCACGTCTCGGCTGAGATAGCGACGACGCGACTACGTAATCCTGCGCGTTTCATCATCGCGATGGTAGTTGCATTGTGAGAATGCACCGAACCCTCGCAAATTCCGAAAGGTCACCCATTTGTAATCGGTCGCCCACCATCTGCGAGCGAACAGAATAAGAAATGGGTCGCGACTCGCGAGCAACAGGCCGCGCCGAGGGCTGCACTGTGTTTTCATGACGGACAGGCCAATAACGTGCACTGTGCAAGGACGTTAATTGCTATGCGTTGACACTGGTGGGCGATAATCGATCGTGCATTAGCGGGCGTTTGTAACAGCCGCATCACTCGCAGGCGGTACAAGTTAATGGGCGTTTACAACCGTGGGAAGATATAATTGTTCCAATTAACACTTGAGCTTCTAAAATTCACTTAATAATATTGTGCAGCAAGTAAAATTATTGAAGAATTCTGGAAATATTGTTTTAAGGTTCCGATAATAATTATTATTTAATTCAAATATTATTTTTATTACTAATCCAAATACTTTTAACATTTTGTGAATAAATAGGATTTAGACACTACGAATAATATATGCTGCAAAAATATAAAAAAAAATAAAGAAAATCTAGGATATCTAAGTAAAAGAGATATTTTAAATAAGCAGTAATAGTTCTCATACTATATTTCTAAATTATTTTATTGATTTGAGAAAATTTACATTTTATTTTGTGTTTGTAATGAATATTTTTTTTAATTATACGTGTCCATGTTTTTTTGTATAATTTTGTAATATATTATTATATTTTATAATATAATAACATCAACTATACTGATAAAATAAATGTTTAATCTATCAGTTAATTAAAAGATAATATAACTAAATTATTTTGCTTAAATCAAAGATAAGATAGTGCATTCAATAATAAATTTTATCTAAATTAATGAGGTAGATAAGTTTTGATACAAAGTAATTGAATAAATTATTAAGTTTTTCTCTTAACGTATTTTTTACATAGTTTTACTTTATAAAAATTTTTTTTTTAATTAAATAATGTAGCTTGCATTTGATGAATAAAGTCTCTTGAGTCTTTCTAAATATTCATAATAAGGAATTAAGTTTACAAACATATGTTGTAATTCTTATAAAATTTGCTTCAAAGAGAAATTTCCAAATTTTGTATAACCAATCTCTTTAAAAAATCCTTAATTAATCAAATTACATCGAATATTTATAAACAGATTATTTAGATTTTTTTATTAATTACAATTAATAAAAAAACTTGTTAATATCTAAATAAGTAATTACTGTTAAAATAATATCCGAAATTCTAATTTACCGAGTTGAAAGCTATCAAGAAAAGTAAGTAAACTAGTTCGTGTAATTTGCGTGCAGTTGAATGGACTGTCATACTGTACTATATATCTAACATTCCTGGCAAAACGTCATTGTATTCACACTTTCTACGAACCGCATTTATAAGGGTTTGAAAACGACGGCTCCCGCGTGTGAATTCGTCTTTGTTGCCGCCATAAATCACGAGTCTTGTCGCGAGTCAGAGTTACGACCGAGACCGATCGTCGTCAGCTACCGGATAGCTGGTGGCAACGATTTGGGGAGAACATAAAGCAAGAAAGCCGGATTGTTTTCTCTTGGCAAACTCATTCTCTCTTTCTCTTTTATCCCCTCCGCGTTATACGAACAACTACGCGAAAATGGCGTGAGGCGTGGCTGATAATAATGTGGTGAATAGGGCGTGTGTGAAAGATCGTTAACAAGCCGAACCATAGAGAGCCGCTGTAGATCGTGCAAGGTCGATCGATAGATCCTTCGACAACCGTAACCGTTTCGGAACGCAGATCCGCAAGCAACGTACTTCATTTTGAATGCCTGCGGAAAATTAAAAAGAATATATTAATTTTTGAAGAACGCGAGATTAAGAATATTAATTGAATAAATATCTAGTGCATTTGTTTTCTAATGAATTTGTGCAATTATATATATTAATATATATTATGATTAAGACGGGAACAATTTAATTATACATATTTCCGACCGCGAAATTGAAAAATTTTTTTAAATTGAAAATTTTAGAATAGAGCTGCTAACGCAAAATATAGCTCTACAATAGCAATTCATTTTTCCAAAAATAGACTTTTTTTTCATCAAATTAATTATGTGTTTTTTGTTGATATTGCAATCGAGTTTTGTGAAAAGTTTGTAAAAATAAATCAATCTCTCCCATATGCATAGTTGAAAGTTGAAAATATTGGAAATATTTTCTCCTTGTTTTTTATTATCAATTTGGAAATATTTTTTAATATAAATTTCAAATTTATTATTAAAACAGCAAAGTAGCGCATAATGTCTTCAATAAAATTTCATAAAAAGGAAACTTTCAAATCGTGTAAAAATGTATACACAAATTTTGCAGATATACAGGGTGTTTCCAAATTAAATCGCAAAACTTCGGGAGCGTGTAGAGGAGTAAAAAACTAAGAAAAAAAGTCCTATAGACATATGCTCGTTTTTGCTCCGTTTCAGAGAAATCGAAAAAAAATGTTTTTTTTACCTGCAAGATTAATTTTATACTCTTCGTGAAGATACTACTCACCTGAATTGTAAATATTTCAAACATCAAGCGATTGTGGAAATCTCTTTAGTGGAAAGTTCCGAGTCAGAAACTATGCGGAACCAGCGTTGCTTTGTCGCCCTTCGATCCCATCGATATCGAATTCTTTTTCTCTCATTAATGCCATGCTGCCGGTTGATCACCGCATAGCGCGTCTCCATCGATGATGAGGGAGGATGCTGTGATTCGATGCAGCGACTTTCCACCAGCCATCACGGAGAAACATTGACGTGCAAGCTGATGCTAAGTGAGCTTTTATAGCCGGGATACAACGGGCATGTGGGACGGCGAACTTGCGACGACGGGATCGAGGCGGGGCTCCATCGCTCTGTACTCTCGTCCTGGACCCGCGTGACGAGATTTTGAAAAAAATAGTTAAAAGAAAGAAAAAAAGCTCGATCAATTGGATTGAAAACACACGAGGTTACGACGCAACCTCGAACCGAGTCGGTAAGAGCGACCGCACCCAAGCGAGTAGGGGTGAATAACAATTCAAGAAGTTGATTTTATCACTTTCGCGACGTGATGTTTATTGGCGATTCGATGTCGCGATTGTATTCACCCGGAGATGGAAGGGATCTCCTTGAATGGTATTGTAAATCAGTGCTATAGTAAATTGCTCGGTATTTAATACCATAGAGAAAATACAGTCGAAGGTTGTACAGAGAAATCTGAAATGAAAAATAGTCGATATATAACGATGTTAAAATAATCGTTGCTGAGATATTGCTGAGATGACAAAATATTCTCTAAAAGTGAATTAGTGTATTATTACTGATTACATCGGTTATAAGTGTAGCACTGAAGTCGATGATAATACACCGATTCACTTTTAGAGAGTAGACAATATCTATATGTATAGAAGACACTGCAAAATAAAGTCAAGCTATTAGAAATTTTTTTCGTAATAAAATTATTTGTAGTTTTGAAATTCTCATTAACATCTAATTATTTATATTCTGATAAAGATGCTTATTTGCATGAAAAATTATTAAATTGCTGATCAATTTAATAAGTAATAATATTACTATTCTGGCTTTGCTCATGATCGCGTTTCAAGACTGAAAAAGATTTCGACGCACAGATTGCAGAATCAGATATGTATATAAATTCACACAGAAATATTTAAGCACTAAAATCCGCTTTGATCGAATATATATAGGAATACTCTTATTTACTCAAGATACTAGATTGTAAATAAAATAAATCTATATATATATAAGTATAAAATATTATATTAGATAAAAAAAGGGAAAAAACGTAGCGCTCCGACAGGACAAAACAGAGCGATCTATTGCGTTTGGCAAACGAGTAATTTGATCTCACGAACGATCAATCTGAGTCACGCGCACATTGAAAACTTTCACAATAAACGATAGGCCATCACATTCTACAATGCTTGAAGTAGAACTCACTTGACAGTGCTCGGTGATTGATGATGTACACAGCTAAATATACCGCGATGCCAGTGATCATGATGAAAATATGTAACATTGTAGCCGACTACTCATCCGAACCATTAGCCGAACAATAATCGATTAATGCACGCGATATGCAAGCTAAGCAACTTTGATCATCCCTTCATGTTACGTTTCGTGTTTTGTAATTATAAATCAGTTACAGAGAGTAGGTATCAGCGACAAACATGTGTAGCCAAAAATCTATTCGGTCGCTCGCATTTTGGATATGCTTTGATAACTAAAATAGAGATTAATAATACAAGCTGTAAGCACAATAATATATGCTTTATGGAGTTAGTTTACAGATTCTCTACAGGAATAATAATAATACAATATGAATTACAAAGCTAATCTAAATTATAAATTTAATATAACGAAACATATTAACAGATAGAATGAAAAATAAATTTTTTACAATTTATTGAAGATTAGATGTCTCGTTTGATTAAAGCGGTTCCAGAAAAATACGTCGCTGGAGTTTCGCCAAATTCTACTCGCAAAAATGATTCTTAACCGAGAAACTTTGAGGATCGCTGATCTACGTCATAACATAGTGCATACAATGCATTTTTCGTTTTCTTGAGAGAAAGAAATCACGATGGAGGAAGTTGACGGAATGTCCAAGTTAATAAACTTCGCATTTATTGTTTTTCAAGCACATCGGATGCAGTTCTTTTGAATTTACTATTCGGTAGACGGGATGACGATGAAAAAGCGGTGAAAGAATTTCCGTATTCCTCGATCAAAAGTCATCTTTGCGTTCGAGGCTGCGTATGACGTTCGATAATGGCTCTGCAAACGTTTCCTGGCACCACGTCTGCAATCTGCCGCGAACCTGATAATATCGTCGCGCCCGGGCACGCACACTCGTATTCAACAATAGAAGAGCCCTCATTCCTGGCGACAATCTGCAAAGCCCGGATGACGCGTGGGCAATCGTGCCTCGCCTAGACGAATGCACAATACAATACGCAATGTAATCGTTCTAATGGCGACAGACATGTATCTGCCTACTGAGAGAAAGCAGGAAGAGGACACGCATAAAATATGACTTGTATTTAGTCTCAAGGTCATAGATGACTGGCTCACGATGAGTAGCCATTTTATTTTTTCACGCTTTTTAACAACGAGAAATACGTGATGATGTTGTACGATAATTAATATTTATATTTTATAGTCATTGATAATCTTTTTTATATAGTACTTTTTTATCGTTCATGATATGCGCTTTTAAAGGAAAGCAGATATAGAAAATATGAAATAATAAAGTCTTTAGAAATCAATGCGGATCGTTGTCCAAATAAATTCTGTTATTTGTTTTAGCACCAGATATGTCAATCACATCTATGATTGTATCTCTTTAGCGTGCTAAAGTAAATATTGTACCAAGATATCGATCTATTGTTGTTGCTACTACCGATTGCGCGAACAGATCGAGGCAAACGTAACGCACGAGACCATAGACGGATGTGTTGAAATGGAACAGCGCGACTCTCGAGTCGCATAGCTTGACTTGCGGCGAGGTGAGACGCAAGGTGCACTCTGGTGTCACTAACACGATGACTTAATGCTGATAAATCGACGAAACGTCACCTCAGCTTGCGGAGAATGTTTGGCGTGTCCTGTGCCCCGCCTGTAGGGTTGGCGGGAGCGTTGGGGCCCCTTCGGGGAGACAATGCCCCTATAAAAGCGTAGTGGACATCGGTTGATGGCAGCCACATCCACCTCAGCCATCAAGGCAAATTTTCTTAACGTATTTTCGTACCTACCAATTAATTATTGCCCTTTTTATCATGTGCGCCCTGATCACGATTCTCTTCGTAGCGGCTCTGTCGGTAGCAACCGCGGTGCCGTCAGGTTACTTGGGTCATGGTGCCGCGTTAGCTGGACCGATTCTAGGACCTGCAACTCTTACAGGTCCTATTAATGGACCATCCGCACTTGCTGGTCCAGTAGTTGGACCCGCGCGCATATCTGGAGCTGTTGATGGTGGTGCTGTCGTTACTGGTGCTGTAGCTGGACCATCAATTGTTTCGGGTAGCATTCCTGGACAAGCGGCGGTTGTAGGCCCAGCTCTTGGTTATGCGGCACCAGCCTTAGGATGGCCAGCTTATGGTAAGCCAATGAATTGTTATCATTAATAATAAACACTACTAAGCTTTGCGATAACGTAAGATATATTAAATATTTATTTTTAAAAAGGTTCTATTTTGAAAAATCTTCAAGAATTTTAAAATTAATTTGATGTACATGGTAGTAGTGCGTGTATGTCACATGACTTTAATAATTACTGTCTGCACGTTCATATTTTTTATTTGGTTCTTGTGACAGCGAAAATTATGATAACATCCACGCGTATATTATCATTTAAAAAATAACTCTGAACTAACAGAAACACAGTTTAATGCAATAAGTATAAATTCTTAAAAAAAAAACGGACCAAATCTTTGTATGAATTGTCGTTTGGCAAAATATAAAAATATATGAACAAACATGTGGCATTAATAATAGCAAAATTAATAACAATACGTCATTGAAAGACTGATTCCTTTTGATATCCGTTCAATGTTTTTTAATGGAGTTAAAAATAGACAGCGTTATAGATTTTACAGATAAATGATATATTATTTTTAACATTTTTTCTGCGTTCAAGTTGTCTGTAAATAAGTAAAGGTAGCCAAATCCTTGCTCTGAGAAGCAGCCCCAAGCGTGCACCTTTACCGCGTATTTAACGGTTCGTCGGACAAGTTTACTGGTGGTGGTAGACCAGAATTGTTGGATGATAGAACGTACCCAAAAAGATGTTTTGTCCTTAGAGATTATTTTGCTCCAATCGCGATCCTTGTTTCGTCTTTCCCAGTAAGTTTGTTAGAAAAGTTAATAAATATAAAGTTTCTGAAAATATACTAAAATTATTATTTTATGGCAAATACATTTTACTGGTTATTTATTAAAATAAAATAAAAATTTTATATTTATTCGCATTTTATATATACATAAAAATGATTATAACCATCTTTCAACCCGTTATAGAACAAACATGATATTTTGGAAATACAATTTTATTTAATATTTAGTCCAGGCCTGTCCAATTTTAGCTTCGGAGTCAAAACGTAAAGCTACCAACACAAAAAAATCAATGGTGGATAAGATTTCGAAGACTATAAAGTATTGATACGCGTCTGAGCGACGCTCAGAATAAATAAATTTATTTTGTAATTTCTTAACACAAACTTATTAACACAAAAATATTTCGTCATAACAATAAGAGATTTAATCTGAGTTTCCTTTAATTTTAAATTATTTAAATATATTTTAAGTTAATTATTTTAACAACAAAATTTATTTTTATTTCCAAAAAATATATTATTTCTGTCACAACCACAGAAATAAATCAAAATAATTATTTGCTTATTCCGAATTTGCCAACTTAAACATAAGAAATTTTTATTTAATGAATCATTACCTTTATGTTTAGAATATTGAAAATGCGCATATCTCTTATTTTATATGTATTTTAAATGAATAAGCTTTTATATTTCTTATATAGGCTCGTATGGAGCTGTACTTGCTGGTCCTGCTGCAGGTCCAGCGGCTCTCGCTGGACCTATCGCAGCTCCAGCTCTGATCACTGGCCCTTCCGGTAGTATCTCTGCTGGACACAGTGGATTAGGTAATATCGTTCGTGGATATGCATCTGGACATTGGTAATTCACGTCACCTGGCAATATGAACTAAGGACCTCCGCAA